CCACCAATCCAGCCGGCCTTTGTTGTTGCCAGAAAAAGGTGGTATTGAGAGAGAGAGGTCGGAGGATTTTATCAAAGGAATTGACGTACGGCGGGAAAGAAGAAAGTTTTTGAATAGCATCCCAATAGTATTCTTATAAGCGTTCATTCATTTCATATTGAACAATATTTGTAGAAGGAAACTCAGGATTAACAAACATTTTGGTGGTTAAATTTGAAGAATGTCTATCATCATTCTAGTCTGGGTATTTTTCTTGCTTACATGGATTTCATTGCTGTGATTTAACGTGATGCAAATTTTGTAAGAAATCACAAGGAAACTTAACACATGTTTGTTGCTACTTGCTAGAGAGCTTATTATGTCTAGTCATCAACTCAACAAGGCATTCTTCTTGCTTCCATATTTAATGCTAGAACGCTTTTTGGTGTTTAGTATTATCAAAAGTTGATCAAATCCTTCAAAAATCAAAAGCTATTGTGAGCACCGGGCGAGCCGGTTTTGGACTGAGTGGCTAGAGAAACCGAACACGCAGTGTAGTTGTAGCTGGTGGAGGAATGAGAGAGAGTAATAGTTGTTGGTTGGAGTTGATCAATGAGAGAGAGTAAGATTCTTTCTTTCTTCCATGTTCAACCGATAACGTAAATGACTCGGTAAGTGTTTATACACTAATCATTTGGATGTTGAAATTCTGGATCCGATCCGATCCAATTACAATTCGATATCTGATTATGGTCGGTCGTTTCTAATTGGATCAGATGGCTTTCTCCACGTTGTTTTAAATTGAATTTCTCGGGTCCATACATATATATTTAACCGTTTCGTGGGAACTCTCATAGAGAAAATAATCTCAAGAATGAGAAACTGCTCCACAACTCTCTTTCTCTCAGGCACCACCAACGGAACCCATATGCTTCTCATGGTGAACGCTACCACCATCGAAACTGTTCTGCCACCAACTCTTCCAGCCAATGCGGCCATCGTCTTCTCCACCATCGATGTCGCAAAACCGACTCCCCGTACGTCATCGGAGATGCAAGACATTGAAAACCAAAGCACCACATACATAATCAGAACCCCAGACATCGACAAATAATCAAAACTGACAGCAACAAACGAGGTTGGGAGGTTCTGCCAGAGCTAGGACAGGGGGATAAATGAACCTCCCAACCTCATATTCGAGGGACTAATCCGGGACTCTCAACAAAATCTTCTTAAGGGTTCGATCCATTTTCATGCTCATTTTCGGACTAGTAGCCATACATTCCTTCTCTCGGGATGATGGATACCCAATAGCTACTCATCCGACATATGTAGTAGCCGTGATCCTTTTTTCTTTGATGGGGTTCACACTTCTACAAGAAATGTTGAATCACAACAATGAAATTCATAGAAGCAAGAAATAGTTTTCTTTTCTCCATGGATTTCAGTGTTGTGATTCAACATTATTTAGAGAAGTATGAACCCAACCAAAGAAAAAAGGATCACGGCTACTACATATGTTGGATGAGTAGCCATTGGGTATCCATCATCCCGGGAGAAGGAATGTATGGCTACTAGTCCGAAAATGAGCATGAAAATGAAGGGAACGGTTAAGGGGATTTTGTTGAAAGGCCCGGATTGATTCCTCGAAAATGAATCGAATGCATTATCCTCTCGGTCTTAGCTCTGGCAAGACCTCCCAACCCCGTTTGTTGCTGTTGGTCTTGATTATCTGTCCCTCTTGTGCTGGTGGCAGTTCTGATTATGTGTCTGGTGTTGCTTGTTCTCAGTATCTCCGATGACATATAGGGTGTCGATCTTGAGACGTCGATGGTGGAGGAGATGATAGCCGCATTGCTTGGAGGAATTGTTGGCGGAACAGTTCGGTGGTGGTAGCGTTCACCGTGGGAAGCCTTTGGGTTTCGTTGGTAGTGCCCGAGAGAAATAGAGTTGTGAAGCAGTTTCCCATTCTTGAGATTATCTTTTATGTGTCAGTTTCCACAAAACGGTTAGATATATAGGTATCAACCCAAAGAATTCAATTTAAAGTAGTGGTGTGGAGAAAGTCATCCAATTAGAACGGACTGACCATAATTGGATATCCAATTGTAATTGGATCATATCGAAAATTTCAACATCCAAATGATTAGCGGATAAACACTTACCGAGTTACGTACGTTATCGGTTGAACATGGAAGGAAGAAGAATCTTACCAAGTAAGAGGCAAGCGAACGACCGGCAAAAAGCAATGCAAAGACCGACAATCTTAGCTTGTTATTATATATTTATTGACTCTTGCCAACAATCTTACTCTGATAACCGATAATTTTACTTGTTAATACAAATTACGATAAGTTTGAGTTTTGCTCTAAGCATATATGTAATAATTTTTTTCTGATAAGAATCAAACACATATATGTGATAATATCTTGTATTCAGTAATTATAAAACGGTTTTAGTTTCTTCAAAAGAACAAGGAAGGGGGTTTTAGTTTTAGGCAAATAAAACATGCGGATCTAGGGAAAATGACTCTGACCCAAAATACATATCCTTAAGTAAACGAATTATTTCCCCTTTTTTCGTAACTCCTAAATCCTCCCATCTCCGACAAACAGCTCCAGAGACTCCCAACTGAATCAAAAATCGATGATAAGCACTAACGACTGTTCAACTCCGACCCACAGCTCTCACTCTCTCTCATTCCTTCACTGGCGACGGCTACACTGCCAATTCGGTTTCTCTAGCTACTCAGTTCAAAACTGGTTCGCTCGGTGCTCACAATAGCTTTTGATTTTTGAAGGATTTGATTAGCTTTTTATAATACTAAACACCAAAAAGCTTTCTAGCATTAAAAATGGAAGTAAGAAGAATACCTTGTTGAGTTGATGACTAGACAGGATAAGCTTTCTAGCAAGTAGCAACAATTAAGTTTCCTTATGGTTTTTTACAAAATTTGCATCATGTTAAATCACAAGAATGAAATCCATGGAAGCAAGAAAAATACTCTGGAATGATGATAGAGATTCTTCAAATTTAACCACCAAAATGCTTTGTTAGTTTCCTTCTACAGATAATGTTGAATCACTGCAATGAAATCTATAGAGATCCTTCAAATTTAACCACCAATTTTAGTTTCACTCAACAAATAATGTTAAATCACAACAATAAAATCCATGGAAGCAAGAAAAATACGTGGACTGGAATGATAATAGAGATTCTTCAAATTTAACCATCAAAATACGTTGTTAGTTTCCTTCTACTAATATTGTTGAATCACCGCAATGAAATCCATGGAAGCAAGAAAAATACTTAGGCTGTATTGATGATAGAGATACTTCAAATTTTACCACCAAAGTGTTTGTTAATCCTAAGTTTCCTTCTACAAATAATGTTCAATATAAATTGATGAAAGCTTTTAAGAATACTGGCACATGCTTTTCAAAAACTTTCTTCCTTCCCACTGTATATCAATTCATTTGATAAAATCCTCATACCTCTCAGTCAATCCCACCTTCTAGCAACAGCAAAGGCTGGCTAGAGTGGTGGGAGCATCAATTTCAATTATGTTGCAGATTCCACATTTACACCAAATAATCCTTCAACTTTAATGTTTCTTTCCAAATCGATCATTTTTTTCAGATAAGAAGTGAACTGGCATGATATATTTTGTTTTATTCTTTGTCTTTGTTGATTTTATTATACGGTTTTGAGAAAGCGTTAATTTTTTTTTATGTTTGAATAGAATATAAATTTGAAAAAAGTAATTGATATATATATATATATATGAAGAAACATGAATACATTTTTTGTTCATTTATGTTTACGTTCCTTTAACATATTAACGAACAAACATAAATGAACGAACATGAACACAAAAAAATTCGTTCGTTTACGGTTCATTTATATTAGTAATAATGATTCAACGCTTTATATTAGGAAACAATCAAGATAGATATGAAAATTGGGTTGAAATTAAATGGGCGGTTGAAATTGGGCTTCAATGGTTATACAAATGGGATAGTTTGTATAACAAACAACCTCTCTCTTTAATATATTCACTATATTAAATGTATATATGAATTATATACATATATAATTCATCTTTGTATTCTCTCTCTAACAATGTGTTTTATTTTGATTGATGATTTGGGACAAGTGATTTTTATCATAAAAGCATTACTCGCAGAAAGCAAAGTAATAAATCATTACGATTCCAGAAAGGATAATTTGAAGCAAGTTTGTTGACGTAATCCTGTAGGAAGAGTGATAACGGCTTGATATTATGCGAGTTGGGGACAAAGAGAGCACGTTGGAGTTGACGATCACTGTATGACATATAGAAAAGGTGAGCCTTTTCTGGGTCCTTTGTGAGACAATTCTTCCAAAGAATAAATTCCTCTAAGATAAAGATTAGGAAAAATAGGTCTCTTTCCATTTTGATATATATAAACCTTAAGTATCAGCTCCATCAACCCATAGCTTCTGCCAGAAACAGTTGGTAAATGAAACTATGTTGCGGCTAAATGGAGCGTAAAATTAGCATGTGATGGTCTAAGAGGAACAACATGCTAGTGACGATCTAAGTAACTAATGCGGTCCTGTCTAGTGGTTTTTCATCAAGTCATGCATAGATAAAGTTGTTTGCGTTGATTAAATTTGTCTGTATAGATTGAGAAGGTTTAACGTATTTTTTAATATTACTGCATGAAACCCACGATCCAATTAGCAGCCAAAAAAGAGCGAGCGGAACCAGGTTACTATGGTCGTGTGAAGGACTTTGTCGTGGGGCATCATGGTATCGGAAGCATCAGATTTCTCGGGGAAACAGACTTGAGAGGAGTGGATCTTGAATCTTTCATCGGAATCATTCAAGGAAGAGTGGCCTATAGTGTCGAGAAACCACTGGTTGGACACGGGTTTAACGGCACGGCTGAAATGACGCTCGTGACCCTAAAGTTTTCGTACGGGAAGCTGGTCTGCCGCAACACCCAAAAACTGATCAACAGTAAAGCTCTTAGTTTTAGAATGCAGGTGGAGAATAATGGTGAGGAGTTTGTTTCGTATGATCCGATTACTGGGGAATGTAAGTGGAGGACCAACTATTTCAGCGGGTTCGGGTTGATCCGATTTAAGGCAAAAGGAGAGTTTAGCGCAGGGGATCAAGAAGTTGATGGCGAGGCCGAGGATACTGACCAATTGGTGTATATGCGGTTCCGGATAAATTAAAACAGAATTATTATTATTTTTAATTTATGGTAAATATATCCTAATTAAATAATTATGTATCATTGTTCGATGACAATGGTGGATGTAAGAATAAGAATCCACACCGGATCGTGTCCTTCAAGTCGCACGTTGCTTTCTACCACATCGTTTTTAAACGAAGTTTTACCATAACATTCCTCTAATTTGGAACCAGTATGGAATTGATTCAATTATGGTATCATGAATAGTCACTGGTTCGGTCGATACAGAGACATAGTAATTTCTATTTTTTCTTATCTACATAGATAATAAATATTTTTCTGAAAAAATCTTAGCAAGACCCCGGCTTTTTTGTATCAATGGAACATTTTTATCTGTTGCGGGTCGAGGGCTCCTCCTTCCCCCTCTTCAAACTCCGATTCGTCTTTTTATAGAGAAATCTCTGATCAAGGATAGAATCAATATGTAGAATCAGAACAAGTGATTGCTGAGATTCGCGCAAGAACATCCACTTTGAATTTGAAACCTAATCCTCCCTTAGGAAGAACGTGAAATTCTTTTTCCTTTCCGCAGGGACCAGGAGATTGGATCTAGCCGTAAGAAGAATGCTTGCATATATTTTAGATAGATACATACTTATATAGTATAGATATAGAAAATTTAAAATAAAAACTCTATTATAAAATATTATTAATTAAATAATATTGATTTAGTGGTTTAAATTAGTAAGTCTCAAATTAAATTATTATGCCATTCGTTGTCACGATGGTTTTCAGGTACGTAGTTTTGGGATAAATTACAATGTTTTGCATCCTACTTTACGATCTTTGTGATTCTTTTCAAGAACGAATCTCTAATTTGTGAACGCGTTTCGCAAGATTAATTGCTGGGAAATTGAGGTTCGTTTCAATCTGTCTATTGTATAACTAGATAAGCGACGAATGGAAGGAAATTGGTTAATCTGAAAGTAGATCTAAGGAACTGGAAGCGAATCTATTGTTGTATCGGAGGAATCATCACGGGAAGAGCTTGGCGGCAAATAGAAGAATTAGGGTAACTCGTTTTCTGTTCGGTTTGATTTTTTCATCGATATTGAAAGTCAAGAGTTCCTGTGGAGGTGTATCTGATCGTAAGATTCTGATAAATTAAAGAATCAACGCAGATCGTTCCAAAATTCGAAGGATTGATGGCGTGCAGATGTTTCAAGGACTTGTTTGAAGCCTTTCCTGAGTCAGTTTGATCTTTTTCAGAGTTACTAAAAACCGTTAAGATTCTTGGTCGTCGATTTTTGTACTGTTATTACATCTTTTTCTTTAATATGGACGCCTTCATTGATATTGATACGATAAATAAAATGGTTTTTAAGAGTTTTGTGTCTAATACTAGATGGATATTCGCATACTATAGCGAGATATATCTCAATTTTAATGTTTCATTTTATTAATTTATTTCCGTTGATATAATACAATTTTTAATGATTTTGAGAAATTGATAATGTTTTTATTTTTGAATAAAATATAAATTTAAAGATATTATAAAATTTTGGAGAAAATATATATATCGATAATTGTATCAAATTTACTATTTGAAGTTCTCGTAATTTACGTAATTTCTTTAATTCAATATTTTGTTTATAATTTAATTTA